GGACTAGTGCAATAGCCTCCTGATTTAGGGTAGCTGGATAAACACATTGCATGGAAAATATTTATACAAAAATTATTGTTTGTCTGTAATATGTTTAATTAGGGTTGCATTTTTTTCTTTTACCTTTTTCTTTTTCTCTCTCTCTTTCTTCCATCTGACAAACTTGTCCTAACTAGAATACTGCCTTCTGATTTCATATTGTTTCAATCTTTCTTTAATTCTTTTGTCAGAATCATCATTCTAAAGCCCACCAGATGGTATTCTACAGAACCAACAAGAACCCTCTGATGGCCCAAGTAACCTAGAAAAAGAAAACTCTTCAGGATTAAAGAAAATCACTACTCAGCTCCAATTCACTTTTCTAGCTCTGTCTTCCATGCTTCCATTCATCTATGTGTGAGAAATCACCCAGCCCCAAACATACCATGTACTTTTATTTTCATGCTTTCCCCCCCCCACAAATGGCTTAGCTTAGAATTCTCTTCTTCCTTTAAATGCAAATCATGCCCAGTCTTCAAGGCGGAGTTCAAATGCCATCTCCTTTATGAAGCTTTACCTTTATTCCTCCACTACAGTGTCCCACTGTGATTGCTCAGGGTTTTTCCTGCACTTCCATAGCAGTTTCATTCCACTACAGCAGCCTGCATTCTCCCTTGTACATAGTTAGGTGTTACTTGTGGGCAGGAGCTATGTCTAAGTAATTTTTATATCCATAGCAACAAAGAGATGTAAGTCTATGTATTACGTACTGTTTTGAGTGCTTTGTGGGTATTAACTCATTTGACCAGCAACACTGTGATTCTGGTGGCATTATTCTCCCAAGTTGTAATCTCTACACATCCTAGTTCCGAGCTCTACATTTAATAGACATTTATTACTTTTAATGGAATGGAGATGATTTATTTGGGATAATGCACTTCTTTGGGTTCATTCGAGTTAATTTTCCTGTATAATCAACACTATTTTTAATTCATTAGTTAATAACTTGCTTTGCTCTAGAAAGAAATAAAGATGACTTAATATCTCACATGTAGACACTTATAAAAAGGAATTTACACAATGAGGACTTAATCTTATATAAACATACTTAACTGGGTTGCTTTACTGTGAAAAAGTCAAGAATTCAAATATATTATGTAAAAAAATGGTAAAAAGGGAAAAAATATAAATTAGATTGGCATAATAAATATTCATTCCAACTTTTTTTTTTTTTTGCAATAGGTTTCTCAGGAATCGCCTTCAATAAAATGAGAGACAGCATGAACATGAATTATTTAGAGGAAATGAACTCTGGGCCTTTAAATATACAAACCATTTCAAAGTCAAGGCAAGGATTTTCTTAAATGTGAGATTACATTATTTTCTATCTATGACTTCTCAGTTATCAAACAGATCATTATTGGAAACGAGTTAGCATCACACAGGCAATATGCTTGAGAGCATGATACAGTCCTGAGGTTTACCATGCAAATCTGAGCTGGATGATTGTCAAAGAGGTGAATTGAGGAATGTGAGATAAATAGCCACATCCAAAGAAGTCTAGATTCAGGAGACCTGTTTGTCCTGCTGAACTGACATCTCTGCTAGGAAGTTCAAAGGTAGACAATGTTTGTTTCCTGTTTCACTTCCAGATGTTGCCTGTGCTTTCCCAGTCACTCAACAAAGAAGGCATGTGACAACTACACACATTTCTGGAATGACATCAGGAAAAAACATGTCACCATGGCTCTTGTTGACTAGCAGGCTAAATTTGGGGGG